AATAATGAGGCAAAAAGCGTTGCCCTTTTTTTACTTTACGTGACTAGGTGACGTCGGTTCATCACAGATTTCATGGTTATCTGATCAAGGTAGAGCACGGCTGAGCAAGCCCACAAAGTTCAGGGACACACTCAGTTTGTCTTATTCGACTGCTCTGCTCAGGAGCAAGGACTGACCCTTTAAGTTTGTGTATGTAGAAAGTTCTTTGACATATCATATGTCCATAATATTAACAGTTTTAAAAAGGTATCCTTTCTTTTTGTGTGTGTGAAAATCATTGACGTGCTTATAGTAGATCTTCTGCAACCCTCAGTACTGTTATTGACTGGTGTGTACACAGAGGGTGAAAAACCTCACTCACACCTTGTCATATACTTGTAAATAAAATGTTTTAAAAAGGAGACACAGCGTGCAAGGCATGTGACTTTGTTCTCTGAAGCTTGCAGGTCATTCACACACCAACGTGATTTCACAAAGGTTGGATAATTAAATGTTATGCATGCAGTGGTAAAAATGTGTCTTTAGTCATTTTGTTACTTTAGGAAGTAACATTACATTTCTCAACAAACATTCATTGGGAGAAAAATAACTAAGTGAAATATGAAGAGACCATGTGAAATAAAGGCTGGTATGTTCAGACTGTGTGTGTTCTGTGAATCAGACTGAAGGCTGATTGTAAGTGAGAACATAGGTTTTTTGTTGATAGAAGATCACAGGAAAAGAGCTTGTGCTTGATATTTGTGTGAAATTGATGTGGGCAGAGAGGGGAAGGGCAACAAAGAGGGGTCAGTGTTAGTGCTAGTGCTATTATATACGCCGTATTTGACAGGTCTGGATTTTGTACCCTCTAAATGTTGTAACCCTGACATAAAAGAAAAATGTTGAACTCTCTGAAGTTTGCCTCTCTGTCTGCTGTTCTCTGCTCTGCCCAAAGGGAGGCAGCAGCTTCTGCTTTCTGCCATTTTGCGTGCGTGTATGTGTGTGGGTGGAGTACACACTTGTGCCATAATCTGTCCTATATTTCTTGGAAGGGTCACTTGTGGGTTCAACTCTGACTCAGAGGAAGCAGATGCAATATATATTATATCTTATATCTGAATCTTTATCTGAAGTTCCCTGCAGTTTGTATAAACATGAACATTTTTATATTCCCATAATGAAGCAATAAAGCACACAACTTGGGTTTTGTTTGACTCTGGAGCATTTAAGCACAAACAGAAAAAAGGATTTCTGGGTGGTTGGGAAAGTGTGGCATCACCCAGTGTTCAAAGAGCTTTTAACTGCAGTTTTGAATGTGCCATAAATCTCTAAACAGCCATTAAATCCAAAACTCCCTGCCTCTTACAAACGACCTATTACTTAGTAACTGTGAGTCAGCTTATAGAGCAGCATCACAACTGACCAGTGACCCTATAAAAACTGTCCCTGTCTTCCTTAGAAATGGGCGGTTTTAAATGAAGGCTGGTAATTGGTTAAGATATATTTCAAAAATAAATACAGAGTGTGATTTTTCCAAAAGAAAATAATTTGGTGCAGTAAATATATTTAAATATATATATATGTATATATATTTTTTTTTAGGTCCTTCTCAGGCCAACAGTTTCTATTACATTGTACTGCCATTATCTTGACAGACAGTTGATAGTAGATGTGTTTCAGTTTCTATGGTAGTTATGTACAAGTTTCATTACTGTCAACTGTGACCGATGTGCACTCACACCCCTCTGGCAAACATTTCTTTTGTCAACATGAAAAACCTTTATAGCTTTGTGTACTTCCAAAACGTATGTTAAAATAAAAACATTTCAAAACGTGAAGTTTGGAAAAAAACAAAAATCAACGGTCTTTCAAGTGCGAAAGTAACTATAACTATACAGAATCTTAGACTTATCTCTTAGACTTATGAGTAAAATTTTGTATCACGGTATTTCTTATATCAGGAATTTCACTGTTACTTGTACGCATGTTTAAGTGTTTTGAATAAGTTTCAGTTTAAGTATAAATGCAGGAAAGTATATGAACTCTGCACAAACATGTACTGACAATGCTAAGTTAACTAGAATACTAAAATAACAATAATAATAATATTAGTAATAATCATAATATTAATAATAATCATAATAATAATGCTATAGATGAAGTTGCAAAACTAGCCCGTAATTGCTAAAGTTAAAGTGATGTCCTTTGTCCCCTGTCATGTGACACTGTAGCATTCAATCTTGGTAGTGCTGCCGTTTTGTGATGGCTCCGGGTGAGTCTTTTGAAGTTGTGGAAATGATTAATGATGAATGGTCTCATCAATGGGATGCCCTGTTAATAAAAATCTCTACATGCACTTCTGAACAAAGTGTAGCTTGTTACATTTGAATCACATCACACAGCAGGAGGCAGCTGGGTTAGTGGTAAGGTTAGGGTGGGGTTGTGTTTAGATTTTCAGAAAGTACAACAGAAGCAAATTAATCATTAATGAGATATCACTGCCTACATCTTATGTCTTTTAATTCTTGTTCTTACTTAGTGGTGGCTTTTCACCCATTTTCACCAAATCTTATAGATGAGTTAGTTTATGAGGAAACTTGAGCTCAGCTAGTCAAGTTTTCTTTAAATCACTGCTTGAATCATGGTATGACTTTCAGAATATGTTTATAAAGTGCTTTGAAAGCTTTAAACATAATTTGTCCCCCACCAGTGTTTTGGACTAAGTGATTTACTGGACCAGATCCAGTTTAAATTTGAAACACTGAAAGAAAACATGTCAAGTTATAATATGTTATAAGTTGATAGGTCATGATATAGTATCCTTACATGCCGACGTGTGCTGCACTTTTACTTCAGACTTTTACAGTTCTTCCAGCAGGACAGTACTTCCACTCTGGAAGTATATTTTTATAACTTCCCTCCTTTTATTTAGGTCACTGTGATCAGTGTGCTGGCAGTGGTTGCAGTCCCGTGCACGTATCTGAATTTCTCTTGGCAGTTAACCAAATAGATAAACCTGTTATGCATACAGTATGCTGAAATACCAAGTCTACACGCCCAGTGGGATTTGATCATTTGAAGAGCTAACACTGTTTTGGAATTGTTTTTGTTTCTAGTATTTGATGGTCTGACGATTGATTTTGCTTGTTTGTTTTTGTTTTTGTATGTAATGTACACAATGTATATAATTGTGTAATTTCTGTGTTGGACCTAAGGAAGACTAGCGGACATCAAGCTTGTATGCACAAGGAAACAACAGAGAAATTAATAATCCCTCTACCAACTGAAACTCACTTATCAACCCTTGTGAGAGATAGAGTCATCCAGTGAAACTCCCCTAACTGCACAACTCTACTTCTGTGGAAAAAAAGCTGGAATTACTGCAGTAGTTATAAGGAAGAGCTGTTTTAGTAACATGGAAATTAACTTCATGGTCAGCAGCTAATCCAGGTTCACAATTCCAGTTTCTTTCAGCAGTTCTGACTGGTTTTATATTGGTCTTACTTGGTTTATGCTTTGAAAAACATAAACGAACCACTTTGTGGAATGGGAGAGTTGTCTTACTGTGAGCATAAAACAGCGACAACCATAGACGAGATCAACACAGGTTGTTGTATATCGACTTACAGAAATAGCTATTCTTAATTAAGCATTTTGCTTCAAGTGATATGACAACACATCACCATATAGCTGAAAATGACCATGTGAAGTGAAAATTATGTTAGCACGAAGATCACATCACTACTAAATGTTTAGGCCAAAATGACAAATCAAACTAACATGTAGGCTAAATTAAAGGGGAACTTCGCTGGTTTTCGATTTTGTCACTTTTGTCGTCGCATGTTTTCTCAATGAGCTCCCCCTACAGCTCTCGGACGTATATTTTACAAAACTGACATAAAAAAAACTCACTTGCGGCACCCTCCTCCCCCTTTCTACCGCTGCTGATGTGCATTTGTTGCCGGGCAACTTTTTTGTGTTGAGCAATGTCTACCGAGGTGGGTAATACATTATACACAGTATCATAGAACATTGCGTTTATGTGGAATTGCCGTAAAGCAGTTCGTTTTTCTCGCTCGTTCTTGCTTCTTACGATACTTCCTATTTCCAACTTAATGGGACGGTAGTCCCAAAGTTGCAAGGTTGGTTTTCCACCTGGGGACGCTAGGGGGAGCAGAGAAAGTCACCATTAAGACCGGAACAGACCATTTAACCATCCAAAGGATTTCTAAACGGGTTTATTAAGTTGAAATAGTTGCCAAATTCCCCTTTAAATAAAATGACCACTCAGTGTGATTAGGCTAGTAGATGTTTTTATAGTAGATCACTGCCTCCAGTTACGGTTTCACAGTGTTGAAGTACTGGCTAATGTTCAAGTGTCATTTTGTTAAATTAAAAAACAGAAGATAGAGTCATTGCAGTCTGCATTTCAATATAATTTTATGACCCTTTAATGAATATTACACAATATGGCACTACTTATTTAAAGTTTTTTTCTTATTAATAATAGTCGTGACATTCCTGTTGTTATTATGAGTGTTGATTGATTTGATGGTGATGAAAATCCTAGTATTTTTTATATTAACATAATATTAAAGGGGTCACTTGCAGATCTACTAAGCCTTTCCCCCTTTTTAGCTGTTAGCTTTGGTTTTACAGCAAGTTTTCCTAGTTCAATTGCCAACAGCAGCAGACAGCTGTTTTCAGCAAAAAGCTGTTTAGCAGTGGTTGGTGGAAACCAAAAAAGAGATAAAAGAAGAGTGAACACTGGACAAGTCAGGTGGTGAAAAAACATGACTCCAAATGAATCCTACTTTTGCTGTATGCAAATAAAAAAAAACGTTACAACGTAAACGCACTACAACAGTTCTATAAGAAGATATCAGAGCTGTATCTTTGTCACTGCACAACACACAACTGGAGAACACGGTGCAGTAATGCTGTTGAGCGGCAACTCTACCATTAAGTATTTCTTGTTTAAGCATGCAAACAAATAATTTGATTGTACTAACAATCAGATATTATTTGAATTGTTGTTAGATTGTTTATTTCCTTCCTAAATACCAAGATAATATCAGTTAATTGCTTTTTATCAGGCTTTATCTTATTGTGGTTACAGGGGTGAGCCAATTCTTTAGCAGCATGTGTGTGACTAATATTGAAGTGTGATAATGTGTACACATATACAAGATAAAAGTGTGTCAGAGTCTGATAGTGGCACTGTATAAATCTGTGCAGGCATACATCACATGAACCCACAGAGTCATTCAGACCTGGTTTAAGGGAGAAACCAGAATCCATGTCATCAGCCATTAGACACAGGATGGAACAGCAGTCGCGTAGTCTGCCTGGTGGAAAATATTTTGCTCACTCATGCTCAGGCAGATAAAACTCCAATATGCCAACCGTGAAACAAAACACATTTCTGTTATCTCATGTTAAGATGTTTAAAAGGAAAGTCTGGGCATATTCTTTTTTAACAATTGATCAACAACCAATTTTATCTGTTTATCCAAAGCCTGATATAGATCATCCTTCAGCAAAGACCTCCTTTGTTGTCCAAAATCGATTAAATACACAGTTGTGCTGCTATAAATAACCATTAGTGTACTAACTGTGAATTAATCCGCAGCTAGAAATAGTCCCCAACAAATATAGTTTTTCCTATTCTTATTCCAGTTTGAGTAATGTAAACTGAAAACTACGTTGCCCAACTGTTTTGGGAAATTAACTATATATCTGTGACCCCTTTTTATAAATATTTACGTCTTCAGTATGTACCAAAAGGGTTAGAGCTGTGCGCTACAAACAGAGAAGGGACAACTAACACGTTGTTGGTCTTGGTCTTTTCGTGGTATTGTATTTATCACACTGTTCATGTATACTGTAGTTTGTGCCCCAAACAGAACAGAAACTAAAATGTTCTGAGCTACAAAAACATTGCAGTTAGTTCACAGAGGGCCAAAGACCAATACACATCTATAAAATATATTCTTAGCATTTCTAGTTTGCCATTAACTGGAATTTTATTGTATGATTACCCATAGACTGTGTAACCTAGTGGGGATGGTACAAGTTTCTGCTGTAAAAACAACTTTAACATCATGTTTCAGTCAAAGCTATAAAAACATGACACATCACAACAAAACCTTTTTTGAAAATAAGGAAAGAAAAGAGACAGAAAAAGCCTGCTACGTTTTAATATGTGCTAAATTTCCCCTTTTTTATTCCTTTGTCTCTCTCAAACACAATTCCACTCAAACACACACACTGGATACATGCACACACTTAAACACATACACATCAAGAATACATGTTTGTATATCCGTTACAGTCTCTTGTGGTCACCTATCAACCACATAACAAGTTCTGCCTTGGCCACTCATTACCTTTCGACAGCAATAAAACAAACACACCCAGAGCTACCATGGGCAAAAGGTTAAACCATAAAAATACTCTTCATTTGAAAAAGCACACAAACGAACACCCACACACCCAGGTGCTAAACGAGGCCATTGCCCAGGACTCACCTGATTGGCTTGGTTTAGCCGATGATGTCATATCTTAGGAGGGCCTGACCACGACAATAAAAAGATACACAGATAAGGGTCATCGACTCCTTACGAGAAACAGAAGGAAGGCAACATTTATGCTGGCACGTACGCGCAGCAGAGAGTTTGTGGAGGAAGCACACTGTCAATCAGTCGATACTCCTGGATTCAGCAGCCGGTGCAGTAGCTACAGTTTGAGGAGGAGGCTTACCTGGCGGAGGGAAGAGCTGACAAAGAGGAGCTCAAAAATCAGGAAGGCCTTCAGAATATTTGCTGGAAAATAAACGGGGGCAAGGGAAGCAAGGACAATAAAGAAAAGACAATAAAGGGGAAAAAGGACCAAGAGGCGAGGAAGGACAAATAAAAACTTTCGATCCAAAGAGGGGACGCTTGTCTTGCTGCACAATGGTGTCTTTTGGACTTGAACTGACCGGTGTCACTCTATCAGCGCTCGGCTGGGTGCTGAGTATTATCAGCTGCGCCTTGCCGATGTGGAGGGTCTCCGCATTCATTGGCGCCAACATTGTCACAGCTCAGGTGTACTGGGAAGGCCTGTGGATGAGCTGCGTGTTCCAGAGCACGGGCCAGATGCAGTGTAAGGTCTACGACTCCATGCTGGCTTTACCTCAGGACCTGCAGGCCGCCAGGGCACTCACCATCGTGTCCATCATTGTGGGGGTGGTGGCTCTCCTCATCTCTATGGTGGGAGCAAAGTGCACCAACTGCATCGATGATGACGGGGTTAAAGCCAGGGTGATGGCTTCCTCAGGCGGGGCATTCATCGCCGCAGCTCTGGCCCAGCTGGTGCCTGTTTCCTGGTCAGCACACACCATCGTCATTGAGTTTTACAGTCCACTCATTCCCTCTGGTCAGAAGATGGAGATCGGGGCGGCGCTGTATCTGGGCTGGGCTGCCGCGGCCTTCCTGCTCATTGGGGGGTGCATCCTCTGCTGCAGTTGTCCGCCACAGGAAGAGAAACCAACAAGGTACAGCGTGCACCCCCAGAGTCGTATAGCATATTCCGCTGCACCGAGGTCAATTGCTCAAAGCTCCTACAACAGGAGGGACTACGTGTGAGGGAAGAGCAGAAGGATCAGAAAGAATACTTTATATTCACATGTATCCTGCTTATTTGTAAATTTTCAGGAAAAGTGTACAGAAAGGTAGCTAAATCCTAATTAAATTGGTTTAACTGGTACCAATTGTACACTTCCCAAACCAGGTGTTTTTCTGGATATTTAGGACCATAAATGTATGTAAATATGCAGGCAGGTTTTTTGATATCATAGATTTGAAAGCTCTGTACAGATTTTTGATGGTCCTGTTTACAATTTTGTCTAAAGTGAGCGAAGGGTGACATCAAATTTAAGAAGAGATCAAATATTGTAAGAGAAGTTCAGAAATTTGATCGATGCAATTAGTTCAATAATGCGACTTTATCCCATATGTATTTATTATTTGTTATAACATTTACATTGTCAATGTATTTGTGCTGATCATTGTGTACATAACAGGTATCATACTGTCAATTAATGTAAAGCAAATAGGGACACTGTTGTGACTGTTTCGACTGAACTGAGTTCCAAATGGCTTCTTTTCTCGGGCAATAATAATTTTCTTGCTGTTATTATAAAATACAGACACAGAGTCACAGATGTGAAACACTGTGCGGCCGAGCAAAATGGGCTCCAAAGCAAGGTCAAGATGGCGGAGTGGTATATTAAAAAGAGTGAGAGAAATATATATAGTTTATATAGTATATATAGAGTTATATATGAGTGATTTTAGTTGTTTCATCTCTATCACTGCACATAATGTGGCTTTGTTTTGACATTTTCTACAAAGGTTTACTCTTTTATGTAACATGTCTTTTGTTGTATTAACATTTGCCAATAATGAGAGAATAAAATGTATTAGGATGATTTTATGAATGCAACTGTTTTGTTTTTAGATCTACTAACATGATTTCAATAACTAATAATAAGAAATAAAGATTTTCACTGTGAAACATTATGTGGTTCTAATTCATCCTGGTTAGACTTAACAATGATCAAAAAAGATGATCATCAAATGTTTTAATACTTAGAGACATAAGAGTAGAAATTCAAGTGAACACAAATTAACATCAAATCATAAGAAGACCAATAAGTTTAAGACATTGTTCAAAAACTGGAAGAGTTTCATCTTCATTTGTTAAAACCATCTTTGGTTTTTTCATTTTGATATAATTTTGCAACAACAGAATTAGTGACCACTCGTACGTCAGAGTTGCATGTGAATCTGTTGAACAGAAATTGGATGTGATGGGAAGGAAAGTCCCTTCTGTCTGGTATCCGACTCAGCCTCTAAACCACTGATACCAACTTTTTCCTGTTTTGAATAGTCAAATTTTCCCTCTGTGTTTCAGCACGTGATGTGCTCAGGGACAGCTGAGCAGCCTGTTAATTCGGCACTAGGAACATTACTACACATGACCTATTTCTCCCCCTCTGAACAACACTGAACAAAACTCTTTCAACATCCAGGAAATCTTTTTTCAACTTAAGATTTTTACTCCTCTGTGAACATAAGCAACCCCATCAAATAGAAACACCTAGTGGCAGAGGATGTTTTTTTTGTAAAGTAGCAATACCACATTGTAGTTACAACTAAAAGTCTTGCATTTTACATTTTACTGAAGTATATATACAAAGGTATAAGCATCAAAACATACTATACTAAAGGTAAAAGTATTTATTATGCAGCATGGCTCATTTCAGAATAATTATGTTATTGGATTATAATTATTGCTGGAACTGGGAACAGTGGGGTTGGTTTTAATTACTTTATATACTGCAAGGTGTGTTGTGAACTTCCCATCAGGATCAATAAAGCCTTCTTAACCTATAATTATATGTCATAATTTATTTGTTTATTATATATTATATTATTAATCTAAATCTACAAAGTAACTTAAGTTATCAAATAAATATAACGTAGTATGAAGTAGCAGAAAACACAAATACCTCAAAATTGTACTTAAGTACTTGAGTATATGTACTTACTTTCCACTACTGGTGACTGGTGACTGGTGACCCTATTGCATTCCTCCACTTTGATAATAAGTTACATGGATTAATATGGAAATATAATGACATTTATAACATCTTTGTTAATGCTTCTGCACTTGTTTTGGTAACACAAGCGGCTGGTCAACACATGTGTACTGATACAGGTAGCCCACAGGTTATGGCTGTTATCTCAGTAGTAATGAATAAACTGATGTTGTTACATAAACACAAGAAACTGACTGATGGAGAGGCTCCCAGTGGAATGACAAACGGAGCCTCCCACCCTCAGGTTTGTTTATGTGTGTTGTTGTTTTCATATCTTTCATCTTTCATATCGTATAAAAAAAACATTGGATCAGTCTGTTGTTGAACAGACTTATTTTAACAGAATTATTTTAAAAATATGCACTTGTCATATAAAGCATTACGAAAACTTTTAAAATTTCTAAACTTTCTAAATTCAACCCATTTACAAATGTGTTATTTTATTTTAACATTTTTCCTGAACAAAAGAAAAAAAGAATCCTAATTATCTGAATGTAAAAATGATAATTCCTGGGCTCGTTATACTAATCCTCAACAAGGAAATACTACTGCCAACAACAGTAATTTACTCCATTAACCTTCTTTTATACAATATACTCAACCACATGTGTGTCTGTGGGAATTGTTTAGTCAGAGTACAGAGTTTAACCGATACTGAGATGATCACGCTGTCTGTATGCTAAAGGTGTTTAGAATCGGCCTTTTCTCTCTGCTCATATTTACTCTGGGTGCAGTTATTCCGGTTTTCAGTCGAGCTTTGGGTTTGTTTTCCTAACACTGAATCCTGATTGTTTAAGAAACTCACGTGACTGGAACCAGGAAGTAACAAAAGACCAATATTATCAATGGTACATTCTACTTATATCCTGAGTGTGTGTGTTTGCACTAGTGTGTGTGTTTGTGTGTGTTTCTATGCTTACTCACAACAAGCTTTTCTAGGTAGCCAGAGGCTGCAGCTACCTCTCTGTTCTCCACTGCTGCCTTGTGTTTAAGGAACTGAACATTCCTCTAAGAGAATAAGTGATGTATTTGGTCAGACCTCATTTAATTTCCTTATTTGCTCCACTTTAAACCACAGCTTGGATTTCCTTGTCGCTGTGTGAATCTCCCACATCAGGCTACAATTCCTAGGAGAAAACAGGTGAAGCGGTTATTTAAAGTGTTGGTCTTGAAAGTCACAAGCCAACCATCTTTCCAGTGACCAACCCCCACAACCACGCACACACACACACACACACACACACACACACACACACAGACGGACCCACCCTCCCTCCATCACATACCTCCTCACCCGCCCTGCTTCCAGCTCCCCTCCTCCACCGTGTATGTGAACAGGTGGTGTTTTTTGTTTCATGAAGACAACCTCCTGCTGACATCATTACCAGGGGACTCCTCCTCACTCCCCTGAGGTATAAAGGATCTCATATTTCCGTGGCAGCATCTCATAGCTACATCACACACCACAGGTGCTTCTAGGAGGACACCTGAACAACACAGGAGAAGACTCTTTACTGCAATCTGAACTGGTTTTGTTTGTTGGAAAATCCGTGGACTCACTGTTTTAAGTTTTGTTCTGTCACCAGACAAAGAGCCAGCATGTCGATGGGCATGGAGATTGTGGGCATTGCCCTGGGAGTCATCGGATTTATCATTGCGATAGTGACATGTGCCCTGCCAATGTGGAGGGTGACGGCCTTTATCGGAGCCAACATCATCACAGCTCAGACCATCTGGGAGGGTTTGTGGATGAACTGTGTCACCCAGAGCACAGGCCAAATGCAATGTAAGGTCTACGACTCATTGCTGGCTTTGCCGCAAGAGCTGCAGGCCTCCAGAGCAATGATGATCATCGCCATCATACTGGGGGTCCTGGGGGTCATGATCTCCATCGTTGGCGCCAAGTGTACCAACTGCATCGAAGACGAGCCATCCAAGGCCAAAGTGATGATCATCTCTGGGATCTTCTTCCTCATTGCCGGCCTTCTGGTCCTCATCCCCGTCTCCTGGACTGCCAGCGTCGTCATCCGTGATTTCTACAACCCACTCCTTACCAATGCGCAAAGGAGGGAGCTGGGCGCATCGCTCTACATCGGTTGGGGAGCGGCCGCCTTGCTCCTGATTGGTGGGGCGATGCTGTGCAGCAGCTGCCCGCCAAAAGAGGAGAAGTACAAGCCACCTAGGATGGCCTACTCCGCCCCACGGAGTACCAGTGCCGGTGGAGGGTACGACAGGAAAGACTATGTTTGATTGGATAAAATGAAAATATTTGTTGCACATGAGTGTTTTTTGTGTGTCTATGTTGTTTTTTGCTATTTGAAACCACAGGATGAACCCCGTGAAAAGACTCCGAGATGAAGATGAGTGTATAAATATTGATCATTCAGCTTTGCTTTGCCGAAGATGTTCATTTGCATCAGTCTAACGCTTTTGCTCTGCCATGATCCAGCAAGTGTGTCTGGTTAAAGAGGCTTTCATGTTCAGTATATGAACGTAAAGGTTTATAACTTTTTAAAATGTCTGATTCCCTTTGTTGTATTTATACTAAAACTTCCATTATGTGAATTTGAAAACACCTGCTTCTTGTGTGTGTCGTGCTCTATAATTAGCTGTTGGCTGGCTGGTGTTGCGTTTCACTGAAACTTTCAGTTAAAACGCTGTGTGTCATTTCACTGACAATGACAAGGAAGAGCCAGCTCTCATTTTACATGGATTTGGTTGTGTGATTGTTCAGTGTGTGTGTGTGTGTGTGTGTGTGTGTGTGTGTGTGTGTGTGTGTGTGTGAAAGAGAGAGAGAGAGTTTGGTGTGTGTGTGTGTGTGTGTGTGTGTGTGTGTGTGTGTGTGTGTGTGTGTGTGTGTGTGTTTTGCATGTAATATTTGCTTAGGAGAGTTTCTGCTGAGACTGAAACCGAAGATGGATCCATGATATGGCCCTAGGTAACAACATTATCTCCTTCCTTAGTTTTACTGTTTCAGGACACGGAAGAGACTGTTTCAGTTGATATACAAAGTCTGACTTTGTGTCCATATGTGTGACTTTATTTTATATTCCTGTAATCAACATGTGTAATGTATTTTAACTGTGTGTCTTAGTTTCAAACATTTTTGTATATATCAGAAGTAACAGCTGTACGGTCCTCTGTATGTCAAGCAAAGAGCCAAAAGACAGAGACACAGATGTGTGTGTATGTGTGTGTGTGAGACACCCTGAGGGAACAAAACGACTACAACCGTTGTAGGATGTTTGTCTCCAGCAGGATGTGTTTTGTGAGTAGAAATATTTCCATCTCTTTTAAATAGGATTTTGTCTCCAAAGTTTAACACAATGTGTTTCTTTTGTGTTGTTCAAATGTCATTAAAAGACAACGCTGATTTATAAAATAAAATGCTTTGTTAAATGTTTTATAGTACTGCTTGAATTCCAAATATGTTGAAGATTTCAATAAAAGCCATATTAAAAAAAATATGGGTTGTTTTTTTTCCCTTCTAAGAACACTTAGATAATCTAGGAGGGACATCACAAAGCCTTTGCTACCAAAGCAAACAAGGATGAGTCCAAATCAAATAGTTTAAAAAGCTGAAAGTTGGGTTGGGCTTTGGGAATTGGGTTTCTTTGTTTACCCAACGGTACAGCTGAGTTAAATTCATCTATCAGATTAGCCAAAGCTAAATAATGTTTAGGTGTGGCTGGTACAGTAGGCTTTGTTTGGCCTGCCACATACCAAAATGAAAACACATTTGCCTGTTGGCTATAATATGGACAAAGGAAAGAGACAGCAGGTACACATACAGTCATTACTTTTGTACTAGTTACTTTTCAGGAAGAACTGAACAAAAGGGAGGAATAAAAGAAAAGAAAATGTGTTTAATGTTTAATAAAGTTCGGTATCAGGTGTTTTAGTGTTACATATATATACAGATACAGTTCCTCTCGTCAGGCAGTCTTGTCTGTATTGAACTAGATATTTATATTCATGCTGCATTCATGCTGTAGGTCATGCTGTCTGTCAGTAGGTCTATTTTTATTAAGAAGCCTATACATCCTGTATGTGTCCTGCAGTTTAGGAAAACTGCTTGACAAGACTTTACAGAGTTTTTTCTGAAGGTTGATGCCCCATTTCGTCCTTGTTTTGTCCCTATCTTTAATTTTTTCTTTAATTTTAATTGCATGTTTCTTTGTTTGAATTTTTGTATTATTGTTTGTGAACAACTGTGGACTACAGTTGAATGCAGGTCCATCGTATTAATAATAATTAAATATTATGTCATATATTATATATTATATCATCATTATATATATACTGTAGCCACTGTCACCCTTTGGTTTGTGAAAGCTTTGGGTTTGACCATTTGGACACAAGAGAAAAAAGGACAGCAGCCTATTGAACTGTATGTATGTGCACAGTTAGGGTATACTGTAAAAAAAATTATTGTCACACTTTAGCATATTTGTTGCTGACATTTTTCTGTAGAACTGGTCAAATTCCATTCGCTGACCCACCTCGGTCATGGTCCTCTGAGATTACAGGGATATGGCAAGATGTTTGTGCGGGTGTGCGTGTGTGTCTGTGTGTGTCTGTGTCTGTGTCTGTGTGTGTGTGTGTGTGTGTGTGACTGATTGATAATACCTGGTGGCAGAGAACTGTTTCAGCAAGCAGCAAGTGTAGCAAGGGTGTTTCAATGCTGATAAAGTACCTTTGGTTCCATTTTCTGCAGATAAGGCTGTAAAATGTTGTGACTCAGTGGTTGAAAACCATCATGTGGACTGTCTGACATTTCCTGACTCTGCATTAACTAGGATGATATTGATTAGCACAGTGTCATCTGTATTCTGAGTACATGTTGTACCTTACCCAACAGAGACACAACAAACGATGCTTTAATTGTGAATGTTAATCCTTTACAATATTTATTTATGATTCATTAATTTAAATCTTACATGCAAAAAAATAATATGCATTATCAGCAAAATTACTTAAAGTATCAAAAGTAAACACTGTCAGTCTTTTACTATTATATATGCTAATTTTGCATTATTATTAGTGCTGTATTAATTTGTATGTTGGATTTAATACTGTAGTTGTTATAGTACATTATATATATATTATATAGTACATTTTTGATTTCTTTATGGCATTTATAAAAAGAAGAATAACACCCTCCAATCAGAGAAGAGCGGCCCACCTCCCCCAGCCTCCGCTGTGAGTGGGACTCTGTGAAAGCACTGTGCTCATTTTTAAATGTATACTGATCGAGACACATCATCCATGGGAGTTTATGCCATATTTGCCTCTACTTAGTATTTTTCTATTTTGGAGCAGTGGTTCTGACTTGACGGCTGTAGAAGCAACACTGCAATCTTTACCTTGATCCCACACAATAACTCCCCCCACAAACACACACATACCAGAGAGTTAGCCTCTCTGAGCCACCAGCTGAGCTACAACACAGGTACCACACAGAAACTTTTACATACAGAGTCTGACAGCAGCTGCTCATTAGCACTGACTACCAGCTCCCTGTTCCTGCTGCACCGCTGTGGTCAGTCTGTCATTCACTCCATTTGAAGTAGAGATCTCTGATGGATTTGCTGAGAAGGAGCGAGCTAGCAGAATTGAGGTGTTGTTACATGTAGTACTTGAGTAAATGTATGTTACACCGCTGGTTTTGGGCTATTGGTGGAACAAGTACTCTGAAGATGTCCCCCTGAGCTCTGGGATGGGCATTTTTCACAATGGTTTGAAAAAATATAGATTAATTAAAAAAAAGAAAAGAAAACATGAAATCAGTAGTGTCAGCGTGTTTGACTGTGCTAACAGATACTGTATGTTTCAATGATCGCAAGCAAGTTAGTAAGCTAAATTAATGTACGCTTGATATAAACAAAACGGTGAACCACTTGTAAGAATATTGCTCCATAGCGCTAATAGTACAATAGTACAAACTCCATAGGGTACCTTTAATGTATGTAGGAGACTAAAAAATAAATAAAATATAAAGAAAGAAAGAAAGAAAAACATTTAAATGAGTGTGCAGATGATGTTGACTGAAGTGAACAAAGTGAGAACTACAGTAGCATGACTGGCCAAAAAAAAGAGAAGGTCAAAGCAGTGTTGACCAGCCGTACAGAGAATACAGCCCATTGTTCTTTCAGACTTCACATATGTCACTGATCGCACATTTGAATGTCAACTTCTGTTTCCTGCATGAACATGTGGGGTTGACAAGTAGCAGACTTCTCATAAACAAGATGATGACCGAATCAAAGTCCAACAGGTACCTGATACAGACACGAGAAAGCCCAGGTTATCACTGATTTTTTTAACCTCACTGACTGATGGACTGTAAAGTTGTGTAAAGTAGATAAACTATCTCTTGCAAACACTTCAGCAGGTGTCAATAACTATGTTATGTTTTAAACACATTATTATCTCATTACATTTTAAACCACTCTAAAAATCATACAGGTCATACTCTGAATTTAGGCCGTGATCTATCGGAGTCAAACTTTCAGTAATTCATATAGATAATTATTTTAGAGTAGTCAGTAAGTATCAGGCATATATTTCCAGCACCGGAGCCAAAAACATGAGTGCGAACTGAGCTTCCACAGATAACAAATGTTGAATAAGAAAGGGAACCATAACGATTTCTGAGCGTGTCCTCTGCTGTGTGCTGTGATTGTTCTGCCGGTGGTAATAGATCAGTAGTTCCCAAACCACTGACACCGTGAGGTAGGTTGAGGTGTGCAGTGGGATTTTTAGACAACCATTCAACATATTATATCAACGGAATTATACAAATAGTTATGATTTCATTTTTTATTTACTATATCAGTACTTTGTATGAACTTAGTTAAAACTCATTTTTTATTTTGTGACCTGCAAGATTTAAATGGCAGTATTTATGCTTTAATGCAATTTTACAAAGTATTAAATTAATTCTTAAATTATTTTGTTAATAAATATTTCCTGAATGTGAGTTTGTTCAATTCTATCTGGCATTAGTTAATAAAAATGAATGTTTACAGAGTGATAAGAGTGATAAGAGTGATAAGAGTGATAAGAAGTGATAGAGGAGCTATTTTGCACAGATATGAATATTGGTGTGCCTTGAGATTTTGTCTTACCCTAAAAGTTTGAAAACCACTGGTATAGATAGATGAGACTTTGGCACTATGATCCTAGATGCTGTCTGGAAGGACTGTAAAGGTTATACAGTATGAACAGAGTGTGGTTGTTGTGCACTGACTTCTGTTTTCTGACTTCTGACACTGTGAGAACATTCCTGTCCTCTCCTAGAGTATCCTGATAATTCTGCAGCTTTTATCAGGCAGCTCTTCTGTGTGTGTTTTATGATTTAATGAGTTGTCAAATTATTAAAATATCTAAACACAGATAAATTGGAGCTGTTGTGAAAGACTAAAATAGCGACTAATTGGATGGAAATATTTTAGTATCGCCATTTATGTCACAAGGCGCATGAACTATGAAATACAGATTCTGATTTATCAGGATACTGACGACAAATCCTGTAGGAGAAAAATATTTCCAGGAAAGTGTCTCAGTATACAAAGAAAAAGTGCCTTTGACTTATAAATGTGGAAACGATTGCAGTTTGTTGAAACTGTTAGGCCAAAACTTATTGTTACGGCCTTTTTTAAACCTCCTGCATATTTACAAAATGTCACAGTAAAAGCAGAAGTGTCAGTAAAGCAGAAGTTAAGTTCTCTTGTATTGTAAATTAGCAGATATTTGATTCATGGCAGGTGGTTCTGCATGAAATTGAAATGACAGCTGTGGGTTGAAATGCCCCAGTTGATACTCCCGTTGAATCATGGTCTTCACTTTTGCCCGAAAGATTCTGAATGTTTATAGGACGAACACACAAAGGTTGTTACACATGTATGTCATGGCCTTAACAAACCAACATGTTCATTTTCATGTGACAGCCAGCAGTGAAAGAACTACTCAGATCTTTTATTAAAGTAAAAGTAGCAATACAGTGTACAAATACTCCTCCACTTAAAAGTAGTTATTTATTCAAAATATAACTTAAGTAAAGTATAAGTATTGCCATGAAACTAAACTCAAAGTACCTAAAGTATTATATTATTGAATTTTGGAGAGGCTGATTTTAATTACTTTATACATATTTTATATATATTAGAAAATATATTCATCTTAATATGCAAAGTAACTCTTAACTAAAGTTAACAAAAATGGTATGAGTGGAGGGAATAGTGGAGAAAAATGTTCAATATTTGACTCTAAATTGTATAAAGTATAAAGCAGCAGAAAGTGAAAATACTCGTAGACAAATCGTACTTCAAAACTCTACTAAAAGTACAGTACTTGAGTAAATATATTCAGTTACGTTTCACTACTGGTGACAGCCGCTAAT